TAAAAAGCATTATTATTTATACTAATATTAAAACATATGGAGAGAGAGAGAGAGAGAGAGAGAGAGAGAGAGAGAGATGTGGAGAGAGTGTGTGTTTAATATCTAAACCTTGAAGGATGGCGAGTATGAGAGAATTGAGTGCTGGAGTGCCTTAAGGGATGGGTCAGGCCGAGGGTGGGTCGACATATATAAGACTATAACAGCATTTGTCAGAACCAGGAAAAATCCACTTCTATTTTATGGCCCAAAACATAATGCAAAAAGTTTTTTAACATTATATATGAAAAACTTTTTTTAATACTCGAGTAAAACAAAACCAACAAAAAAGAGAACATATTTTTATAAACCGATAGAAACTTATTCTAGAGTTTCGTTTCGTTTCTCTTTTGACTAATCATTTCTCGTTAGCCCTAAAGAAGTGATTAAAAAATTAAATAAGAAAAAAGTTTATTAATTTATTAATAGAATTCTCTAAATCCGTAAATATCTCTCCAGTTATTAGCGATTATCGATCGACAGGAAAAACTCGCTTTTGATTCCGATTTGATTTGTCGTTGATATCAATCGTTTTGGTAAATATTCTCAACGAGAATAAAGTTTTTTGATCCGCAGTTTCTGTGCTTCTCGTGGTTTGCTTTAAACACTTCCTCTTTATTCGGAGTGACTCTAAAACTCTTATTAATATTTATATAATTTCTATCGATTCTTGACTTCCGAGTAAGTGTTTCGGCGATCGCTTTATAATCACAAACCGCTTAAACGCAAACAGTTTTGTTATTTTTTTAAAAATAATTTTCATTTATTCGTCCAAACGTTTAGTTTTCCGCAACAGAAGAAAATCACGCCAAGAATGAGAGTCTTGTGTGTAATAACGGCACTATTGAGTGCTCTCACTCTCACGTCATCGCAATTCACATACATTTTTGAAGTCCAGGACGAAAACCGTGGCCCGAATTCGGAACTGTTCGGCGACTTATCTCAGTATAAGTTTGTGCCGCCGTCTCAACTGCCCCGCAATACAGCGCCCGCTCGTCAGCCGTCCGCACCTCAACCCCAAGAACCTCAACCACCGGTCTCTTCCAGAAGACAGGATCGCTTCGAGGAAGAGCCGCAGCCGCGGAGGAATCGACTGAGCGGTGCCGCACAGAACCCGAGACAGTTTGTGGTCAGAGCCCCACCGCAGGAGAATAGACAGGCGTTGTTGAGACAAGAGTTGAACCAACTTCCACCCCAACAATTGCAGCAATTGCAGCCAGCACCATTGTCATCAGTTCAATACCAGGCTCAGCCGCAGACAGCGATTCCCGTCGCTCAACCGGCGCCCCAAAACTTTCCCGAACTACAGCCGCACCAAACGGCTCATTTGAATCCAGTGCTCAGAACTATTGTCCCGCGACAGTCGGCACCCGCACCGGCATCGGCCCCACAACAGGACCCTAACTTTGAGTTACTCCAGAACTTTGTTAGATCTCAGGCTCAACCAAATCCTTTCCGTCCAAATGCCGCTCAGACTCTGGGCCAAAGCCCCCGCTTTAACCCCCAGTCACAGCCCCCGCCTCAGTCCCAGCCTCGACCACAACCCCAACCACAGGCCCGTCAACCGCAGCAACAGTTCAGATCTGGACCCAGTGTTCAGTTGGGTTCCACCGCTTCTGGATTACCGACACTTAATATCAATAACAAAGACAGTCTCACAGAAGACGACTTGAGGGCCATTGAAGAGCACAACCGAAGAGTTCAGAGTTTTCTCCGACAGCGACAACAGCAACAACAACAACAGGCCTCTCATCCCACGAATCGGGGCCCACCGCAGCCACAACCACAGCCTCAACCACAACAACCGGCACCTATTGTTAGGCGACCGACAATAGATCAAAACACTTTGAACGAAAGATTGGCCGCACAGAGGGCTCAACTCCAAGAACACAACGCCCAACAAGAGAGAGCACTTCGGGAGAGAGAGCACAGAGAAAGAGTGGATAGGGAGCGACTCATGCAGTTACAAATCTCCCAAATGCTGAGACCGGAAACCAGGGCTCAGGTGGCGCCACAACTGCAGACACTGCCGTATCTGCGGCCACAACCGCAACAATTCGGACCCGAAATACAGGCCGGAGTTGAATACGCGCCGCAACCAAACCAACCCGAAGAACGACAACCCGTGGAAAGACAGCCCGAAGTACGTCCGGTTCCCGTCAGCTATAATAACGTAAGAGTTCCCGATAGAAGACGAGTGGCGCCGACGACTCCCGCGCCCCGAAACTATGCCATTCCCAGGACTACAGCCGAACCCCAACACAAACCCAGCGCTGAAAGTCAAAGACCGGCCACTTTAGGCCTCGCAGCTCTGCCCACAGACACTGGTATGTCATTGTGTTTTGTATAATCAATATAACATTTTAATAAATTCAATAATAATGGTTTAGATCAGGATGGTATTCCTGGTGAGGCCGGAAGAGACTATCCGACCCTCGAGACCATTCCCAAGACATCGTTTTCGTGCGCTCGACAACCATTGAGCGGTAAATTTGTTGTTCATTCATATTGTGATTAATGGCTATAATATACGGGAATTGATGTGATATATAGGGTATTACGCGGACACGGAGGCGGCGTGTCAAGTGGTGCATCTGTGCCAATTTGGTGGCGTCCAGGACTCGTTCTTGTGTCCGAACGGAACCATTTGGAATCAGGAAAAGTTTTCGTGCCAGTGGTGGTATGAGGTATGTATTACCCGCACCCCTACATAGTATATCCATGTATAGTATATACATGTTTGGTGTCCCTAACGATCATTAACGTAAACCAACAACAAAATAGCTTATCGTTTACTTTTAGTGCCTATTAATTATAACGAGAAAATAAAACAGCAATTTTCCAACTTATATATAGTTATTAATATTTTTGCTTAACTATAATATCATGTGTAGAAATTAAATTGGAAAAAATTCTTGATTTGTTTGTTTGTGTGTTTTGTTTGTTTTTTAGTTTTCAATTTGTTTGTATCTCTCAATAACAGGTCAGTTGTGCGAATGCCCCGCGATTTTATGCTCTCAACCAAGACTTGTATAAACTCCCAGAAAAAGACGATAAACTCGACGATAATAACAATCGTAATCAGAAATAATGTGTTTTTCTATAATATTAATATTATTAAACAATTTTAGAGCTGAAAAACTATAAAATATAATGTTTTTGCTAAATATCGGATATAATTATTGTTTTCCTATAACTAGTAAAATAATGCATTTCTCATTATATTATATATTTGTTTATTATTCGTGTCTAACATATTGTTATTGTGAATCAATGCATAAAATTCATTATAAATTTACATTCATTAAAATCTACGGACAATTGAGATCATTGTATAAGCATTCAATTTTATAGCCAATTATTTTGTTTGCCAACAATTTATAAGAAGGTATTACTTGAATACTTATTATATTTATATGCAATTTTTATGTCCGTTTATTTTCATTTGTTTTTACCATATATTTTCACTTAAATTGTTAACTTTTTTATCACAAATGATTTTTTCTCTCAATTTCCATACCTTATACACAAACTCGTCGATGGATTGTAATAAAAATGATTATTATTTCTTTGAAATAATAATGTTTTTTCGTTAATTTAAATAAATAATAAATCAAATGTGAATATATTATTATTTTGTTTCTTGGTAAAATAATATTTATCACACATTTCTCTCCCATACAGACACTAAAAAATAAGTATTAATTCATGTTTTTAAATATTTCTCACGTTTTTGTTTTGGATTTAAAGCTTAGGATTTTAAAGATAACATAAATTGTTTGGCTTTTTGGCTGAAAATATACGATATTATAGTTATTATTTCGCTTTTAATGGTAATAACGTTTTATATAATGTGAATAAAATATAAATTGTTTAAAAGTGATTAAAACTCCCATATTTTAATAATAATTTATTAAATATTAAAAATTCAATTTAAAAATTATTTTTGGCTGATTATACATTGGTTTTTTGAATGTCGTTTTTTGATTATAGTATTTCTATCAGTATTTTTGACGCTTAATATTAGCTTAAAGTCTCACTTTTCACTGGAATTTCAGTTAAAGTGCTTATTAAATGAAACAAAATCTTTTTCTTTTTAATTTAGTTTTTTATGTGTTGTTTTATTTTACTGTTTTGTTGCCGAGAATTGCAATTAGGTTTTGATTTTAATTAGTAATTAAATTGCATTGAGAGAGAGAGAGAGAGAGAGAGAGAGAGAGAGAGGTATTTTGAGCCAAAAATCCTTCGGTAGAGAAAATCTTCTGAATATTTAATTACATTATAATCACATCATAATTGGATAATTGAAATACAAATCCTTATCTCTCTATTCATACGAAACACACAAACGAAGCGTTTGTTGGATTGATATCAAAGTTATTGAAATAACACTCTCATTATTAAATTGTGTTTTTCAAGACTTTTGTTTAATTATTTTAAATTATAATATTGCGAAACAAAACAATTTGTTTATTAAATTAGTGGTCTCTCTCTCTCTTTCTCTCTCAATGCAATTTAATTACTAATTAAAATCAAAACCTAATTGCAATTCTCGGCAACAAAACAGTNTAATGTAATTAAATATTCAGAAGATTTTCTCTACCGAAGGATTTTTGGCTCAAAATACCTCTCTCTCTCTCTCGTGTTCAATCAATTATCACTAAAGAATACTAAATTAAATATTGTTTTTATAAAATTTAAATCACAATTGAATTAATGTAAAATAATATTTGTATTCAAAGAGTTGTTTCATTCATGTGTTTAATGATCTAACCATTCAGTCATCGACCAAAAGAAATAATTATATACTTATAAATCATAATCACATAAATTAAATATTCAAATTTGATTGACTTTTTAGCCTTAAAATATATTTTTAAGCAATTTTATAAATAAATTTAATATTGAGTTCATTTATACGTATTTCAGAGTAAAATTAATATTTACTGTGCATTAAGTGTAGTAATAATATAAATATTTACCTAAAAGGGTTCATAATTTACTGCAATTAATATATTGATTAAATTTGAAAGTGGGTTTCCATTTGATCTCAACACTAACTGCAGTATTAATAGCCCGGATAACAAATACACTTATTATTTCTATCATTATTATCGCTATGCCATGTTTTTAACATTTTCCTAATTTCAATTTAGTTGTAATTTAAATATATTTTCAATTCGCTATTAAAAGTACTAATAGAGAGATTAATGACTGAACATAATCTGTTATAAAATACAGCAAATATATGTTTAAATATAGGTTTTAGCGAATACACAATTATCTGTTTACTAAATGAGTCTAATTTAATTAGTCCGGAGTAATCCATCACACGATTGGACTAAAATTTCTTCCCAATTGATTTCAGCAATTAATCATTCAATATAATTATATATTAGATTGAATTCAGTATATGTTTAAATTATAGAGGAATACACAATCAATTAGTGATTAAAATAAAGATTTAATTGATGAATAACTTATATATAAAAAAATTATTATAAAAATTTAATATACTTTTTATTTACTAAAGAAAATAATTTTTATGAAAATCAATACTATTTATTTGATGCAAATTTTGACTTATTGTTCATAATCTTCTTCTTCGTCAATCTCTTCAGTCTGATCTGCGAATCCCGTGTTATCATTGGTTACATGTCTTACATTATCATCACTATTACTATTGTGTTGAACACTATCTACGATCTGATGCTTATTTTTATCGCCAATTTTTTGATCAGAAAATGACGGAACAATTGATGGCAAACGACCCGCAGAAGGCTTTTCCGCGAGTCGACCCGAATTGATATTCTTGTTATCACTCATTATTTTTGGGATCACTTTTACACTTTCAGTCGATCTCTCCTTTTGTTTATATAAATCAGAATTCATTGAATAAAATTTGGACGAATCCTTACACGTAGTATTAAACCTATGGATTCATATCACATATCAATACCACACAAACAAATATTAAATGAGAGACCAATTGCTTACCACCAGTTGCAGGTGAAGAGCCTCTGACTAAATATGGTTCCGTTGCCGCACAGGAACGATGTCTTTCGGGTATCAATACATAAATGAAATGCTTGACACTCGGCCTCCATATCCGCATAGAATCCTTAATTTTTATTTTAAAAAGTTTTTATTTAAAAAGTTGTTAAAAACCTTTTTTACAAACCGTTGATTTTTCCATTGCATGTGAACGATGTCTTCGGAATTGATTGATATATTGGATAATCTTTGCCACCAATACCCTGGATATTATCTTTATCGGTGTCCAACTCTGTAGGTTTAGGCCATTGACTTGATGTCACTTTTTGTTCAATTGTTATATCAATTGAAAAACAAATTAAAAACACAATATATTTTAACAAATAGATATATTTGAAGTAAAAAGAGTTCATTATATTCTTAAATCAAATGACAAAATGTAACAAAACTTCTCATTATTTATAAGAAAAATTAGTGAATAAATACAATATCTAAAAGTCATGATGAGATTACTGTCACACTCTTCTAATCGGTTTTATTTCCTACATTTAACACTAAATTATATAAAAGTTTAGTTCATTTTTAATACTTTCTTATATAACATCTACAAAGCATTTTTATGCCAATTCTGCGTGACTTTACTTTTGTTACAATATATCTAAAAATATATTAATTATATGTGAATAAAGTGTTTAACTATTATTAAAAATTCATTTCAGCTAAAAATAATTTTATTTGTATATTTTATACAATTAAGAAGTATTAACCGGAAATTTGCTATAGTTTTGGTCAAACTTTGTATTGTTTTGGTTAAGATTTTTATCATTGGTTTTACATATAAATAAAACATTAATTGGTGTCTAAATAACATCCAATTATCACAACAATATGTATCAATCAATTGTTACTATTATTATAAAATTCAGTAAATAAATCATTTATAAAATTTTTGTAATGTTGTAATCACCACTAATTTAACTCTCAAAATAATCAATTCTTATAAATTATATTTTATTGTTAATTAAAATAACATAATTTGTTATCCATTTAAACCAATTACAATACAAATATGTTTCCATAACTTCTTTATTATAAACAAATTCACTAAATAAATAGTTTATTAAAATATTTGTAATTAACTAATCATTGATTGCTTCGACTTTAAAATAAAGTCCGGGTTTAGAGTCAGTCGGCAATTGAGATATGAATGCTTTGGGTTTAGAGTGAGAGCCCATATATCCGATACACATGGAGTGAGTGCTGTGACCCCACAATAGCTCAGTGTGTGTCGAGTCCTTGTCGTGATAGAGAGCTAACACTCCTCCGAGTCTGTTCTCTCTCGCTATGCTTTGAAGTAACGGTGAGTCTAACCAATGAGTGAACAATTAATATCAATTCACTAAACATGAGACAAACCTACCGGTGAATCCATATCTAAAAGCTTTATTCAAAGCATTTAAATTATTGCCATCACTTGTGTTAAGCAAATGATTGGCACATTCTTTAGCGAACATAGTTTTGGTCAAGTATTCTCCCGTACCGGTGGTCGTGACGGCAATGCAATTCTGCGCCCAAACACCGCATCCCATCATTGATGCCTTCAATACATAGGAATTATGGTAAATAAAAACGATACTCTTAAACGCGTTCGCATACCTGTCCTATTCGTCCCGAAGGCTTCAGATGAATGCCACCACTAGAGGCACCGGCGGCCACATTGCCGGCCCAGTCCACACATATGGCGCCCACTGTGTCCAGACGTTTATGTTTGGCGTTCAAAGACTCATCACTCGTTTCACTGTCAAGAAGTCGTTTGTATCTATTATACGATTGTTGCGATCGCTCTGTAAATCAGATATATTTTTATGTCAAATAAAAACAATTGTCGAAACACTTTGATTACCAGTTAATAGTTCTGAAGCCACGCAACCATTGCTGAGAGCGTAACTTCTGGCCCCCTCTCCCACCAGAAAGTTGGGTGCAATGAGACCACACGGCTGTTGTCTGGTCTGACCCGTGAGCACACATTCGGCCGCTTTGATCGGATTCTTAATGCCGTGAAGAGCGCCGACGGCTCCCCAATTCAGTGACTGGCCATCCATTAGACTGGCGTCACATTCAACGCAACCGTTAAGATTCAGATTAGATCCTAAGCCAGCGTTTGTCACGTCATTGTCTTCGAGACTAGCGATGGCCCGAATCACACCATCGATGGCCGAACACTTGTCGTTCAGACTTTTGATGGCCTATCAGTTTAAACACGCGATTAATGACATTTACGCCACGATTTCGACTCTCACCTCAAGACAGGCGATGCGACAGGCATTCAGATATAGATCCCGTCGATGACCGGTGCCGTACTGTCCGGCGCCTAAGTTTTCATCATTACAATTGATCTTAAATTACAAGACATCAACACTGATATGTCATTCATGCAAACAAACCCACGTGTACTCCAATGAATGGCATCCTATTGTCAGTGGATTCGTGTCTTAACGATACGACCCATTAATTGATCCAACGTTTCGGTGACCAAAACACTCAACAAATTGCAAATCAATTTAAATTCAACCAAAAGTTTGGGTCAACACATGGTTTGAGTGATAAATACTGTGCACTCAATGCGAGCATTGCTTGTGTTGTAAACGTATTGTGTGTTTGAAATGCAAAACAAAAACAAACAACAAATGCATTGAAAGATGTGTTCAAACAGTGATTCAAATGAATTGAATTTCATTCACAAATATTGCAAGTATTTGAACAAAAAGGTGATCCTCAAGACAGTCAAGTCTTCACACATCGGTTCCCTTAAATGCATCGATCCGTTGACCCAAACCATCGCTCTGGTGGTCGCCGGCGATACCACCTCTGGATCCGATGCCGGCGACGGATAAAGGTGATCCTCAAGACAGTCAAGTCTTCACACATCGGTTCCCTTAAATGCATCGATCCGTTGACCCAAACCATCGCTCTGGTGGTCGCCGGCGACACCACCTCTGCATCCGATGCCGGCGACGGATCCAACAAATCAAAGCTCATTTTGGCAATGAGTCACGCCATCAGATCCATTGAGTTGGTCGACGACACCGACGATCGTACCGGCGATGACGACAGCGTGTCTTTTGATTTGAGCCGTTTGTTGTCGCCGTCGACGTACGGACACAACGACAAGACCTGCACCGATGAGGAGCTCAAGAGTCGCAAACAGAATGTCGTCGATTGGCTTAAGAAGAATAGGATTCCTTGCGAAGAGTTGGCCGACGGATCCCTTTGTATCGCATACGCGCTCACTCTTAGCCCTCCATATACTCGAGACCAATGTCTTTGCGGTAATGAAATGGTTTTGAGACAAATCCAGACATTGCTGGACGCGATGTCCGCCAGTGACCACTCTTGACAACACTTCCATCATCTGATTTGACACAATCAACACTTCATTCAGCAAATAAACCGTAATTTTATAAATGGATTCAAAAAATGTACTTATTTTATAAAAGAGCGATAAATTATACATCAATTTTACAAATGAATTAAAAATTATCAAAACATAAAACAAATAAAAGTCTAAATGAGTCGTTGATTATAAAGACATGAGTGGCAGAGATATCGTGTCGACGGATACATAGGATAAGTGGGGAATCGGGTGGACGTGAGAGAGACAGCGATTTGGTCTAAACTTTGATGAATGACTGAAAATAACATGTTTTTGTCGACAACATAATCACCGCAAAGACAGCACTTCTCGGCATTCAATTGCATGTCTTTATATATCGTTTGAGGCATAAACTTATGGCAACAGAACAATAGCCGATCGGTTGACACCATTTTGGCCAAACATAGTCTCTGAAGTGATGGGAATGGTTTGTCTTTGAGGATTGAGGTCTTGTGAGTGCGCTCTCGCAATGGGTTACCAGAAGTGTCCAAATGATCCAAATGTGTGTTCAAATACAACTGTTTGATGAGCGAAACGGACAACACATTCACATTGTTATGACTAATGTCCAGATGTTTAAGCGAAGAGATTGTTCCCAATGTGTTGGCCAACGAAGTCAACTCATTGTGGCTCACATTCAACCGCTCCAGACTTCGCATGGCTTTGATCTCCAGCGGAATGTACGCCAATTTATTGCGGCTCACGTCCAACGTCTTCAGTTGTCTCATCGCAACCATAAACGAGCCATCGATGGCTCGGATGTGATTGCGTGAGAGATCCAAAATGCGAAGAGTGGGCCCCAAGTCATGCATTTTGATGGCAATGTCTGTGAGTTCGCACTCAGAGATCTTCAGTTCAACCAAATTGTTTAGTTTCCAAATGAGTCGCGGAATCGTTCGCAAGTTCTCCACCGATAGCTTCTGCAGACACTTATTGGACAAGTCGTTGATATTAAACGACTGACTCGTGATCGTGAGAGACGTGGGCTTCGGTCGCATCTTCTCCAGAGTGGAAGCGTTGGCCAATTTGGTGGTCAATTGATTGGCTCTGATTCTGGACATCATTGTCACGAACGCCTTGAAGAGCAACGGATCGTAATTTCTGAGATACAGATCGCGTTTGGGAGTCACGAAACTGATGGTCGTCTTCCGGACCACACAGTTGTCTCTGATCTTCAGCTTCTCCTTCCACTGCGCGGTCACCACCACTACGACAGCGGCGCCCGAAGTATCGTTGGCCAGACCTACTCGAGCGCGACTGAACCGCACCCGATCTCCGCCGGGACTGACCAGCGCTGCCTCGCAGTCAATGATCATATCAGACGTGGGATCAGACGTGGGATCAAAGCGTGCGAAGAGTTGCGATGAATGAACCGATTGTCTGTTTATTGAATGAATGAATCACTGAATGAAAGCCAATGTTTAGCACTATTTTTGGCGCTGTTTTTCACGCATAGACTGCAGAAGTGAATGACAGACACACCAGTCGTCAACATTGCCTATGGCTTAGCGTATGTGTGAACGCATGCGCACAACACACACACCACAGAGTAGTGCAGACACTCATACAGTCTATAATTGGGAGTGTTTTGAGTGATTCACTACTGATTACACCATTTGTTGAGACAATTGAGTCGTTGTTTTGCCACACAATCACCGCATTTGGATCCGCTCTTCCTGTGGAAACACACTTTGACGGCAACGTAACCGTTGGATCAGTTATCGGACCGATATGTCACACCAGACGGGCATCCGTTGCAACGAACAGCTGCTCCAATTCATCTCCAAATGCAAGACTGAGTCCACGGAACAGATCCGACTCATAAAGGTGTCCATTCATAACGAAGAGCTGATCCTCGATGAGTACAAAGAGCCGGCCGACGACTGGGAGGAAGACTACCGGCGGTTCGTGAAGCGCATGGTTTTGGTGTCAGAGCCCACGTATATACTGTTCCGCTTGGACTCGAGGGACGCGTCCGGCACTTATGAATGGCTGTTCATTCTGTGGACTCCCGAAGACAGCAGTATTCGCAAGAAGATGGTCTACGCGTCCACTAAAGCCACGCTTAAGCAACAGTTTGGCGGCGGAAACATCGCTCACGACTACTTCGCCACCACTTTTGATGAGATCTCGTTCTCCGGTCTCCAGAGTTGGCTCAAAAGCAATAAAGAAGGGCTTCCGTTGACTCGCGAGGAACAGGAGCTGAAGACTGTCCGCCGGGACGAAGCCCTGTCCTCGTGTATCACCAAAACCAATAAAACACTTCCGGGACTCGAGTTTCCCATCGATTCGGAGGCCATTAACGCCTTGTTTGACCTCAAAGATGATAATCTAAGTTACGTTCAGTTGAATATAGACGTGAAGAACGAAGAGATCAGACTTTGCAAGAAGAAGACCACCAATGAGTTAGACATTCATAATATCGAGACAGAGATACCCAATGATAGCGCCCGCTATCATCTCATAGTATTCAGGCATACCTTTGATGGCGAGTTTCATAAGAGTATTGTATTCGTGTATTCAATACCCAATAGTTATATATCAGTGAAGGAGCGGATGCTGTACTCGTCCTGTAAGAGCGCATTACTCAACGCCATCACCGATCGGATCGGCATTCAAATCGACAAACGTCTTGAGATCGACAATCCGGGAGAATTGACCCATAATTTCCTCATCGAAGAGCTCCACCCGAGAGTAGATATCGTCCGCAAAGCGTTTGATAAGCCTAAGGGTCCGGTCGGGAAGAGAGGCGGCAAACGGCTCATTAAGACCAATGGAGACGATTAACTATAAAACAATTTCACTAATCTCTAGAAGAAAATCTATTTATTTATGGAAACAATCAAATGATAAATTAATTTATTTCTCTATTCAGTAATAATTCAATTCTCGGAATCAAATTATATATAATTAAAATCTATTCTATATATTGTTCTTCACGTCTGTGAGAGGAAGAGTCGACTCGAACTCGTTGTTTGTTTTTAAAACCCCTTTTTAATGTTGAATCCTTTTGACCACATTTTACTCATTTTTTGTGAGAATTTATTTGTTTTGAGAATATATGCAAATTTTATTTAATATAATTTAACGTTTCATTCAATTTACAGTAACTCTTAATAAACATAATAATATGTCAATTGTTTTGCCATTTGTATTGACTGCGGATATATTTCGGGTTTTCATTTAAAGTTTACAAATTTCTCTTGTCTTCAATTAGTTGTGTAATTAACTGTTAAATCAAAGTAATTGATCGCTCAATCGATATCCCAATAAAGATTACGTTTTATTTGCAATTTAATTAACGCTTTTATTATTTAAATTATATTAAATTAAATAATGTAATGAATATTTGTATAAAAACAGTGATTGGTTTTCATAATAAAATTCATTAGAAAAATACTAAACGTGTAAATAAGATATTAAAATACATTATCTCACAACTCGTTGGCCTTACTATCACTACTAGTAGTAATTGTGGCACTCATTTGATCCGCCGAAGTGGTCGTCAATTCACTCTTGAGTTTAGTCTTATACTTAACATAAGGCGAGTAGATATCAAAACCCAATGAAATAATGTTATCAAAGAGTATACGATATCGAAGGGGAAGCACAAAGAAGTTAAAGTATTGCATCGGTGGCCACACTATCCACTCCACGACATAGATCTGTTCGAAGCCCTTCTCCACCAACTCCTCCTTCACCCGAAGAACACCCGATCGCTCGCAGAGACCCAGCGTTGAGAAGTAGACCAACAGATTGACGGGACTGAACAGGATTTGATCCAACAGTACTTTTTTGGTGATCAGATAAAAGGTCTTCTTTGTGCCCAGAAATCGGTCCAAATAGATATACCAATAGTGAGACACGAGTCCAGTGGTAAAGCCGGCGCACGTCATGTGCACCGATCGCTGCCCATTGAATCCGACCGACGGCTTGTCCTCACTCTTCTTCTCGACCGTCAATATGTCGTACTGTTGTTGAATAGCGTCGCCAACTGTTCCCATGAGTGCCGATATCAATGAGTTGGTCAGCAATAGATTGGTCCGACCGAAGAGTCTTCGGTGCACAAAGTGGCCGATCCGTGCAATCGCTGCCATCGATGACAGTGTTATCACAACAAGTAATGGTCCGCACAATTGGTTCCCAAGTTTTTGCGTCAAACAGTTGTTGACATTTTGTTTGTCACGATTTGAATGCAATTAACACTTAATTTAATGAATCCATTGATTGTATGAATGAATGAAATGCAATGAAAATGTGTTTTAAATTTCGTCATTCATTCAAACTCTCAAATGAAATGCAATGCAAAGCATGTGTTGACACACTTTGCCATCTGTTGTCACAATACAACCAAAACACTCCCCCCATAAACGTCACTATATTTGTGAACGCGTTGTCACACAATGTTTGCTGTATTTGTATTATAACGAGTCGTTCGCAAAGAGCGTAACATTTAAAAGGCATTTAAAGGTTAAAAACAACGCAAAGAGTGATTACGTAATGATTTAGTGTTTGATTGCGATTACAAGTGATGGCAAAACAATGGCATTCATTGATTGGATTGTGAATGCGATCAACGCTTACATCAATTACCTGTTGATTGCGTTAAGACTTAAACAGAGACTGAATCCAAGCGAAGACCAAAGCATGCATTCACTGCACATCCGTTACGGCAAACACAACGACACGTTTGTCCTCCGATTGGCGCCCGATATGCGAGTGGAAGACGTGAAGAGACAACTCGTGGACCGCATTTGTGTCAACCAGTGGTCAGACGTTGTCATTATATTCGCGGGCAAAGAGTTGCCAAACGATTTACGGCTCACTGACTGTGACTTTGGCCACAATTCCGTCATTCATGCCATCAATGCGTTGAACATTAAGACCACAACCGCTAAGATATTACCCTTTTCTCAGTCAAGTCTCAGTCAACGGCTCACAAATCTGGACATTAATGACACGAACGACGAGACGAGGGCTCAACTCGAGGACAGACAGCGCTTCCCGAGCTCTGCCACCGAAGACACGAAAAGTGCGGACAAATACTATTTCTTCGTGTTTTGCAATTCGTGTCGACAACTGATGGCCGGAAAGCTAAGAGTGGTTTGCGATAAATGCAAAAACGCGACAATTATTGTGGACAGAGATCCGCGAGAGTGGGACGACGTCCTCATTGCGGACCGCATTGCAGGCGTCTGTCAGTCGGAGGAATGCGACGGAACTGTCGCCACATTTTACTTCAAATGCGCCGCAAATACTCACAACTCGGCCGACGACCAGACGGTCGGCGCCCATGTGTTTGAGACCAATAGAGCGGCTGTTCTTCATTTGATTCGCTATAACAGTATCCAAGTCTCGTGTCTCGCGTGTACTGACGTGAAGGACACGGTTCTCGTGTTTCCGTGTCCTTCAAAACACGTCATTTGTTTGGATTGTTTTAAAGACTACTGTCTGTCGAAACTAAATGAGCG